TCCTATCACTCTCATACTCCGGTGGGACGACTGCTCGACACGACCAGTGAGAGTTAAGGCGCAGGACCGACGGCTTTACGTGCTCTCCGAGGCACGGGGGTGAAACACCGCCAACTTCCCAACTCCGGGCTGTTACTGAGACTTTCTATACAGAAAGACTCAATAACTAAACTTGGCCCGACCCGGGACTCGAACCCAGGACCTCCGGGTGTGCAGCCGTACATGCTAGCCACTACACCACCGAGGCAGTTCATATTAATGAATATGTATAGTGTATCAATAAAGGGTACGAGTAGGGTACCTCTCTAAACTTTAATCAAGTCCATTACATTCATAGTATTTATAATATTAGTACAATACGTATACGTATAAAAATTTAATTATAATGCGAATTCATCGAAACTAGTTGAATATCAAACATGACATATTATTTATACTTCATGTAGGTACACTTCAATCAGCCTTTAGAAAGTAGAAAGTTTTAGCATTTACAACTTCAAAAATGTCTAAAGAACTATCTCAATCAAAAAAGCTTTTAAGTAAAAAATGCATAGAAATCAGCCCATTCATTTGAAAGCTACGATACCAGACACATAGACGTACTAATATTTAAATACATACTGACGTTGGCGTGAAACTTATAATCAATCCACTTTGTTTTTCGTCTAGAGTTAATAAAACAAAACGCAAAAGAAATACATAATTGTTAACACGACTTTATACAATATCGCGTGCAGTCTCAAACATCGATATTTCGAATGACCCTGAATATAAATGGAGTTACGTTTTAATCAGTATCGTTTTGTCCTTAATAAAAAAACTGGTCAATCGCTAGTTGCACTTGTATACTGAGGGTTCTATATATTACAAAGATATTTTAGCTAAGAAATAATATGCTTATTCATTGCTTATTGTCTAACAGCAGGCAGCTCAATGCCCTAGATAAGTCCTGACAGATAGGTCATACGATGCCGAAGTTCTACACTCTAGCAAACCATTCCTCAGGTGCATTTTCGATGTTATAAATAACGATAAAGCATTGGTCTCTTATATATGTGTAACGTTGGATGCTATTTGGAGTCATTTTATTTATTATTTACTGAGTACATTGTACTGAAATAAAATCACGATTTGTTCAATTGGCCTTATACGAGCACCTTTTAATCGTCAATTTAATTTAAAGAGCGTCGGCGTAGTCAGTCCGTGAGGAAGCTACCACCGGCTTAGAAAGCAGTTCTGCTGAGAAGAGCCGGCGAGAAACTCAACAGTTAGTCGTTTAATTAATTATCGAGATTTTTTTTAACATAACATTATACGAGTAGCTAGCTCACATATGTGTCAATATATTTAAATTCCACGCGTTACCATCTACAAGAAATTCTTGAGCAGAGTATATTATATTTAAACTAGCAGAAACCGCGGCTTTGCTCGCACTAAAACAAAAAAAAACTTTGAAATGGTTGGTTTCATACAAAATTTCATCCGCTATTTTACATAAGGGGTTATGAGATAGATGAATTTCGAAAATTGCTAAAACATGTATTTAATTAATTGTATTGAAGAGCATTTATACCAAGTTTTAAGTAATACTGATCATAAATATTTTTTTGGGTTATATTATAACGTGTTTTCGCATGAGAAAAAGATAATCTCCCTTGGTAATAATAAAATATGAAGTAGCCTATGTCACTCTCCAACCCTTCAACTATCTCCACACAAAAAATTACACCAATCCGTCACTCCGTTTCGACGTGAAAGACAAACAAACACACACACTTTCACATATAATATTAAGTATGGATTGTTGAAAACGTAAATCTAAGACATCGCATTGCATGTCAACAGCTAAGTGAATTAATTAATTATTGATAAACGTCGCGGTTTATCGCGTCTACTTACTAATATGTGCTTTGGCGTATTTTAACCATACGATTGTAATAATTACTCTATCGTTTGCAGATACGTTGATCTATTTTGTAAGCGTCATCTATACTAATATTATAACGAGGAAAGATTTGTATTATTATATGTTTCTAACGAATAAACTCAAAAACTACTGAACCGAGTTAGATGAAATTTGGTAAGTAGATAGTTTGAGACCCTAGAAAGAACACAAGGTATTTTTTATTCCGGAAGTCATCCCTTAAGGGGGTGAAAATGAGGATGAAATTTTGTATGAGGAATCAACCCAGGGACGAACCGAGCGAAGCGAGGGTGAGTCACTAGTGATTAAATAAAACGTTACTTTTTCAGTTCAATTTTGATTTACTATATTTCATTGCTAATAGAGAAGTTGCGGGGTATAGCCTTCCTCAATAAGCGGGCTATATGATACATGAAGAATTTTGCAAATCGGATTAGTAGTACCTGAGATTAACGCGTTAAAAAAAACCAACTCTGTCCCTTTATAATATTAGTATAGATATTCCGACTTTTAAATTATTGCACATCAATTCAAATCGTTTTTTTAAACGTTTGAGAGAGTAGTATATAAATCGTTCGTTAAAAATCTTTTTAAATTCATCCTTAATTGGCTGTTAGATATCGCCTGATATACTCACGATGAATGTAGTACCTCATCGTTTTCAATGTTAGTCTAAAACAGTTTGAAAAAATTGAGCGTGTTATGTTAGTATTTTTTATAAGTTACAAAAATTAAGAAAAAAAAACTAACTAATTGCTTAAAAATACACTAAGGGACCCTAAAAAGAAAGACGATAGTTTGATTGCGTGCACATTTACTACGGAAAATCGATTCATGTTCCAAATATAATATTTTAGGGGAAATAAAGTTATTTTCCCTCAATCATCTATATAAACTTCTAGGAGTTTGTTTGATATATATAAATAATTAATGAAGGCGTTAATGTACATACAAACAAAAACAAAGTAACAAAAGTCTATATAACTCCTACTGATACTAAACCCATGAGTATGATATGAATTAATTGACTTTTATAACGATATGATGCAATTTATATTGAGGTTTTCAATTGATATAGTTTTCTGTATGGAAATAATTGTAAGCAAATGTGTTTTCTTGAGTAATGTCTATATGAAATAACTTAAAATAAATGTTGGAAGAAAAAGAAGTACAAAAATATCTTAATATCTTCCCCGGAAATAAAAGTATTAAACTAATAAAAAAATATAAATAACTTTTAGAGGGTGTATATAATAAAAATAAACAAAACACTTTCTTTTAAAATCGTTTCAATATTTTTATTTCAATTTATTCACAATTGAACATCATTAGTGCACCCATAGAATAATAAATTCATATTAAAATTTTACATGAGCAATTCATTTAAATGTAATTCACGTGTTATATCAAGACCTGTTACTCATTGACTTAAAAGTTACTACAATATATATTATGTAATAATTTCTTAGATTTATGCGAATATTTGTCGTCTTAAATAATGCTATCTTTCAATTCTTTTCATTTTTGGTTTCGGGAACCAAAAATCAAAATATATCCGCAAAGAAATCCGAAAAGATAGTTTTATTAAATATATGTAAAGTATTAGGACTTATAACCATTTAAATTTTCAATAATTAAAATTTAACAAATAAAACAAAATCATCTTAATATGACTATCGTGTCTTCGATTCTAGTCTTCAAGAGTAATGAGAATGTTCTAGAAAATTAAACATATTGAATTAAGGTATGTAAATAACATATCTGTACAATTTTCATAGCCAATGAACAACAAGTATGATCCTACGTACAGTTGTCCATAATTTTCTACATAACCATTTCAAGTGCCTCATATAATATTTAAATTTTAATTATTCACACATTGTAATTGTAAGAAAAAATAAATAAAAATGATTTTTCTACTGCAAACACTGTATATTAAATATTATTGACACTAATAAAATATTTGGATTTAATATTAATTTAATAAAAACTTTAGCTCTCATGCATAAACTGTTTCAAATGCTATAACCGATGCCGTTCTCTTATTGACTATCTATTTATTTGTTATTCCTTAGTTTTGTACATTTATTACATTTTTATCTACTAAAAAATAACTAATTAAATAATTTAATGCATTTTTACTTTTTTAGTTCATAAATATATCTCTATAGAAGAATAAATAACCTATAAATAACAGTACAAAAATCAGAGTTTAAAATTACATATGTTTCAGATATTCGCAATCATTTTTCAATTAACTACTAATTGATTTATTTATATAGTTTACGTTACAAGGATCTTTTTATTCAACGCTTTAATTCTTTTACAAATAATATATAATCTACAATTATTGATGATGATATTTTTTTATATATTTATATACAAAGTTAATGAATTATAAAGTATCCAATGATACACCCATTTTAGAGCAAATGGTACTATAAATAATGTGTTCTGTACATTCATAAGAAAAATTAATGGGACGTTATTTTATTTACATTCAGTCGTAGCAGTGCTAAAATTACTTTTAAACATATTTTAAATAACCATGTTAAATAATAATCTTGTTAAATAATAACTTTATTAATAACGTAATTTAATCTTGACATATTTTATTGATTTTAAAGCAAGCTAATTAAGAAAAATAATGATATAAGCTAAAAAAATTATATAAATTAATAAAAATATATATAAAAAAGTCAGTACAATTATGTTTACCGCTAAATCGATGAATTACGTCAACCATTTAAAAAGTAATCTAATTTTATCTAAGTCTATTCAAAATTTTTACAACAAAGTCGACTTTTAGCCGATTTTTTTATTTACATTTTAGATAAATTTACAGTTTCTTTTAATAATTTAATAACGGACTTTAGAGATCTGTGAACTAAAAACTGAAAAAAATACATTAATAGTTATATGACACAACTGTTTGATTCATTTATTAGTTTAATTTGAAATATCTAAAATAAAACACTTGCCTATGACCCACAGTTAGGTCAGTAATAAATTTGTATATAATAAATACAAAAACCTATATATTAAAGAATTATGTACATGGGCCTAATTTTTGTTAAACGCAACTCTCTTGGTGTGCCGCAAGGAGCGGTGTTCTAGTCGTTACTACTTCTCGATGCGATCTCAAAGTACCGTTGAGGCGTTCGTTCTGCAATAAAATTATATGTTAGTATTTTATGTTATCTTATTTATAAATATTACTTAGCAGAAATTTCCTATGACGATTGATATAATTTTGAATAGTGGAGTTAAAATAATTATTTTTTAAATAAAAAAAACTGATGTAAATTAATTTTAAAATAATATTTGGACTGAAATTAAAATAACAATTACAAAAATTGAATCATAATTGGCGAAGTTTTGCGAAATATATACAAAGAAATATTATCTAAATGAAGTCGGTGAAAAATAAATTTACTTTTGTAACTTTCAACTTCAATGTCAATAAAATAATATTTTTCTAATATTAAAAATGCGAAAACGTATCAGCATCTCCTTTCTTACATACTTGTAACAGATTGACGCAGCTTTTTATATAGATATAATATATAATATAAACAAAAATTATCACGTCGACGTTGTTTGTTTGATCATTTATCTTTTAAAAAGCTTTCTAGGATGTGAGTATTTATTTATTCCTTTGAAAGCTTTTCAATACATATTGAGACATTGGGAATTAAATAAGTAACCGATAATACATTATCGGAACTTTAATTAAAGCAAATTCTTGAGCATTTGCGCTCGACAAAAATATTTTACCTTTACAAATGAATATTATAAGCTAAAAACTTATACGGCTGGAAGATAAAAGCAACTTATTTTCTACATAACCTATATTACAAAACACCTAATACACACTTAGTAAAACGAACAAAAGTATGAATGCAGGCCAAGAAATGCACGCTTGTTTGAAACAATGCCCTAAATCTGCCCATTCTTGTTTTGTTTCGTGAGTGCATCTTTGTGCTCAAACACTATACTGTATGTTAGATAAGAGTATGTTAGATAAGAAAAATTATAGCTGCAGTTACGAATATATACGCAAAGAACTATTAGAAATAAAGCCTCTTTCTTAAAGAATAGTAATTTCAATTAATATCGAATTCGTAATAAACAACGCAAATGGAAATAATGCAATAGAAAAACGTAAATCTGTGATGGTTATAGACAAAATTTTCAATAGTTTTCATATATTTCATGACAAAATAAATTAATATAAAAATTATCCTAAAGTTTTAATGAATAACTTTTTTATTTGGTAACTGATTGAAATAAAACAATTACTAAATGTTAAGTGAAGCTTACCACAATACATTGGTGAAAACCACACCCAAATCGTTTAAGCTGTTTCTGAGTTTAGCGCGCACAAACGCACAGACAAACAGAAAAATTCTAAAAATCATTGTTTTGGGATCATAGCGTTAATAAAGACCCCCAATAATAGTTTTTCTCAAATATCTTTCATGTACAGACAGCAACCAGTTACACTTTTATTATATGTATAGATTCAGATATATGAAGTAGGTAATATTATCATAATGGAGATTAAAGATCATTTGATCAAGTAAAAGTCAATTTTAAGCTCTACTCTTCAAAGCTTTCAACGAACTAACCGACATAGAATACCGAACAGAAAAATTCTACGCTAAAAAGTAAATATTCAAGCGCTCCGATTAGACATACGGACATCCGACAAAACACTAATCAAATATGAATACCGCGACGGTATGCCTTCTAAAATAAATAATAAATCCGTCTGCCTTGTTTTGTTGCCGTTTGAATTCTCCTTTTTAATCTATCACTATCTAAATTCATACTCGTAGCATTTCATTTACGGTATCTTATTTAGGTAGCCGTCTTGTTTCTATATCTAATTTAAATTTGTAGAATATGTTTTAGAATAATAAAATTATACATACAATAAGTACTCAGCCCTTTTAATTTTATAATTAAAAATAATAATTTCCATTATGTGTACACAGTTGTATTAGTTTAAAGGAAGAGTTCAAAGAAAACATAAAAAAATATAAACCTTCTGACTTGCGCTTTATTCTAGAATTTAACTTTTCTCGCTATCCATTATACTTATTAATTTTAATATTAAAAATTATCTTTTTGACTTTGTTGTGCTTTTAGAAATGTTGATAGAAATAGTGGCACGTTAACCTGGGTAAAGAGAAATTAGCGGGTTCGATTTTAGTGTGAAGACTTTTTATTAATGATGAAATTTTGCAATTTTAAAATAAAAATCATTTGTTGCAATTCAATGGGGCAAAGTAAAAAAACGTAAAACATTAACAAAATATTTTTATACTGATCGGTACACTCTATATTGGACCGATATTTTAAATCTGTTACATCAGAAAAATATTGCTTTCCAAATAAGAATGTCAAAACTCTTACGTTTCGACATTCTCCTTTACCCTTTGGCGGTTGACTTTCAAAAAAGCCTTTGTATCTTGTATGAATGGTCTTATAAAAATAAGCTGCCAAATTTTTCGCACAACAACTGAAGCGTTTTGATTTGGTTTTATTTCATAATATATTTTATGATTTCATAAATAATTAATTTTCACTTTTCAGTTTAATTTCAAAAACTAAAAAACAGATGAAATATCCAATAAAAATAGGTACGTTATTACAATGGTTGCTTTTATTAAATAATGTTTTATAATTTTTTTTTTTTTAAATTAATCATATATACATTTTTATTATTTTAAGTGATTTAATGGTCAAAAGCTTTTGAAGCTTTTAAGCTGAACAATCTAGTGTTATTATGTATTTTTTATTTATTATATATGAACGTATAAATAAATGAATAGGTATATAAATTAAAACAAAATGACGACTTTATGAAATAGGTAGCTGATGTGAATAAACAAACTAGAGTATTGCATTTTGTATACAAAAAATAAATTGTAGAAAATTAAATGAGTAAACAATTATTTTCAGGTTATTACTATACTTCACTCAAATATGTGATTGTATTTAATCTTTGTTTGATAACAAATGAGAAGAAAAAAATTCAAAATATTTTTTGAAACTTCAGATTTTGAGGTCATGAGGTATTTTTTTCCTTTTGGGAAAGCCTTCTATCTATCATATAGGTGATACATAGAAGATTTTCCCAAAAGGAAGGCTATAGAGCCTTTAATTTATCAAAATTAAAATTTGTTTACAGTTAGTCAAAATAGCGTGTTTTAGTTGTTAAAATCTATTTTCAAAGCAATTTAATGTAAAATTTTGACCAAATAACAAATTATTGAAATTTTTATTTATAAAACTTAATTTGTTCAAAAAAATGATTGACGTGTAAATTATTGTAATATAAAAACATAAAAAAAAACTAAAATTGAAATAAGGGTACTTATAGAATGAAAACAAAAAAAAGACAATAAACTTTTAAAATATCTTTATTATATAAAAGCTCGTTTCCAAAACTATTTAGCACTTACTGGTAGCTCGTGTGGTGTGGACACAGGGGATGTAGGTGAATGTGTTCGTGCTAAGCTATGAGAACTTGTGGAGTTCTTGGCTTCTGACTTAGCTACCACCGTCGAGTACTGGGGTGGGTCTGGTGGACAATCTATTCCTAGATACAAAAAATAATATAAATCAAAAATCAAATATTATATTACTTGTATATATATCTATTAAATGGCACGGTGGTCTCATGGCTAGCATATACGGCCGCAGATCAGGAAGTCCTGGGTTCGAGTCCCGGGTCGGGTCAAGTTTCGTGAATGAGTATTTCTGTTAATATATTCTCCGTAACAGGCCGGAGTTAATAAGTTGGCGGTTTTTCACTCCCGTGAATCGGAGAGCACGCAAAGCCGTCGATCGTGCGCCTTAATTCGTACGTCGAGTAATCATTTGTGTCGGCTTATGCACTATAATATCTCCTGCGCTGATGCCTAGTCTCAATGAAATCGACCGCCGTGCTCGAAATCGGTGGGGAGGACATTTGGGACAAAACTTGATTTGGGCGTATCTGTTGATAACAGTTTACTTCGCCAAATATCACTTAGAAAAAAATACAGTTGGTATGAACACTACCGTGACCCCAGACGGTTAAAATTAACCGTTAGAAATAGATATTCTGCTCTTAGATTTAATTTTTTTCTTTATTTCTAAACCATAAATTCAAGCCGATATCGAGTGACGTGTGACAAACTGACACTTGATTGACGACTATCGATTTATCTGCCTATGTCTCAAACACTCTTAAGCAATAATCTAACCACTATTATAAATTATATGAAAATTTGTATGTATGTATGTATGTGTCCTTTAACCGATAAAACGGCTGGACGATATTTGAACGTATTTTAGTAAGCAGATACATTATAACCTTTTTTTAATGTTGAGAAATGCATTTAGGCATAGCACCTGTAGGCGTACAGGTGGTTAAGTGGGACTCACTGACTATAAAAGCCAGTACTACCTGGAGTAAAATATAGGCAATCTAGGACGCATGCGAACGAAATGATGACTATTTCGTTACTAAAATAAACCAATATGAGTAAATATCAAAGAACTTTATATTGTGTAATAACTGAAACTTATAAATAAACTAACAGAGCCCGCGAAACTACCCGCGCCTAGCAAAACTGTAAAACATCTCTAAAAAGGTAGTTTCATACAAACTTTTATCCCCTATATAACCCCCTTATAGGATAAATTTCGAAAAATGCTAAAACACGTATTTATTTAATTTTATTGAAAGGCTCCAAGTTTCAAGTAATTTTGATTATATTTTTTTGGATTGTATTAGTTATAACGTGTTTTCCCGTAGGAATTAGATAATATCCCGCGGTAAAAAGTAGCCTATGTCACTCTCCAGGCTTCCAACTATCTCTATACAATAAATCACGCCAATCCATCACTCCGTTTCAACGTGAAAAAGGACGACAAACAAACAAACACACTTTCACATTTACAATATTAGTATGGATAATATATTACATTTTTTATAGATACGAATAGATGAAAAGTGATTTATATTAAGTACAATTGCACGTAATATTTATATGTCTGAATGGTATCACCTACTACCTACCTGCAAACAAGACTTGATTCTCGTAGAAAAAATACATTTTCAAGCGTCAAAGCCTCACGTAAACTAAAATGCATTAAGATATTATTTTTTAACATAGTATATATCGGTTTCGAGCAGTAAATATAGTTTTCACAACTTAAAAAATGTATTGAAATATATAGCAAATATATTTTAATGTAGTTATGTAAATGTAGGTAGGTACATTATACAATCTCCAATGCGATCAAGCTTAGGGAGTATAATAGATTCTACATCAGTTCTCAGTAACAATTCCGTTATACGTGCACTCCTAAGTGTATACTGGTATTACGTAAATGAGTATATTTGTGCGATATATACTATTACAAGCACTATACTTGAAGTTTAGGATATTTGATACTTTCTCTTAGAGACAGATACGAGAAAAAATCGGAAATCCTTGGATGATACTGTATAGTATGTCAAAGGTCGCGGGTTCGTATCGATTAATTTATAACGTATTTTCGATTAATTTAAAACACCAACACGCTTACAATTTTAATTTAGCGGATATTAGACGTAGTAGACGTTAAGTTGAGCCTCGCTCGCAAGAAATATAATAACATATTCATTTTAAAGTAAAATTCTTCATTATATATTTGAATTTGAGAAGCTTTAATTATAACGGAATGCTTAAAATGAATATTTAAAAAATGCAGGTGAATTATGTTCGTTATAAAGAGTGTATAGCGATGATATATTTTTTGATCATGCTTAGCATACATTTAAATCATAAGTAAGTTTTTTTAAAATGAACCGAACAAATTATTTCATTTGAAAAATTTCAATAAAAATATACAGCTATATAGTATATCGACGTTAAAATAAACATTAAGTTAAATTGAAATTATTATAATATAAAAAAAAACATAAATCAAATCTTCATCATTTTTTATATTCTTTGATTTATACATATAGAAATTAATCAATCCAGAATCGAATCCATTATAACTAGAGTATAGCAGTACAAATCAGATTCACTTTTGTACCTACCAATATGCCACGAACGTAAAATATGTTAATTCAGAACGTGTCAGCTCTTAATAAGCAATGTATTACAATTGTAATTGTGTCGATTAATATTATTCTAACGTATTCATCTATTGTACTGTGGATATGTTACAATTTATGTGTACGTATATAGTAGAACTTCGAGAGAAATAAGTAAAGATTTTCATAATACTTTCTAAGAATTTAACGCGTTATAAACGCTAATAATATTACGATAATTGAACGCGAATACTTGACAACTATACATATAGTAAAATTCTGAGTCGAATATGTACATTAAATATTTTTTGGAAAATCTTTTTGAAATAGTCATTGTTATAGATAAAGAAGCCGAATCTATAGTTTTTAGAATTTTTGTCTGTCTGTCTATCTGTCTGTCTATTTTCCAGTGAGTGGTGTACATCTATACTTAATATTGTAAATATGAAAGTATGTTTGTTTGTCCTTCTTTCATGTTCAAACAGAGTGACGAATTGGTGTGATTTTTTGTGTGGACATGATGGAGGCTTAGAGAGTGTCGTACACTTCCGTTTACCGAGGGAGATTATCTTATTATCACGGGAATACACGTTATAATAAAACCAGTTTTAAATAAGTTGAACAAGTGGTAGACTGGTTGCTTAATTTACCATCAGATCAATAATATTTATTCTAACAATTTAATATTCAAAAGAAAAAATATACGAGGATTAAAAGAGCGACTTATGTTTTATTATACAGTGTTAATAACGTCGTCGGTTTAAATTATAGGGCACTTTTTACATGTAATAATTATATAATATATATTATAAACTTCAAGTGTAACACGATGAAAGATTCGTTTGAAGTAATCTCTGCCAGATGAGCGACCAGATACTCATGTTAAGTGTTGTGATAACATTAGATGAAATATGAAAGCTTTAATTAAGCTCAAAGCAACACAATAATGTTAGTTATATGTAAATATTTTGTTTAGTACAGTATACATTGAAATATCTTAAATTTTAACATACCAAGGTTTTTTGTTAGATAAAGTCTGTATAAAACAAATCTAATTGTGCTTCAGCGTTTTGGGGATCTATTTCAGTGACATTAGAATTATACGTTAGTTTCAGATCGTAAATAAAAGTTTTATTCTTATTCTTAATAATTACGCGTAAAAAATATAATACGATTCTCTAACAACATTATTTTTAAATTTTATGTAAATTTAGATGTGCCCCGCAGTTTCACCCGCGTTAAATTTGATTATACAGTATACACATATGCCTGTTTCAAATATCTACCGTCTGCACGATGAGTATTTGATTAAAGCTACTAAGCTTTAAGCAATTAAAACATTTACAATAATGTATGGAACTCTGATCGATTTGTTGATATAAACAGCCTATAGCCTTCTTTAATAAATGGGCTATCTAACGCAAAAATATTTTTTTCAAATCGGATTAGTAGTTCCTGAGATTAGCGCGTTCAAACAAATAAACAAACAAACAAACAAACTTTACCTCTTTATAATATTAGTATAGATAGCATGTTATTTGTTTTAATTTATAATTTTCCAAACCAAATCGTAACAAACCGGATACAAAGTTTGAAAGACTTAACAATAGAATCATAGTACTTTGATACAAATATAACATAATACATATGAAAAAAAGTGTGTATGTACTTCTGTACCTATGTACGTAAGAAGTTATACCTCTTTGGCGTAACAGAATAAAGATAGCTAAAGATTTCGTCCCGTATGTCACAATTCTCTGTTTGTCAAAGGAATGCAGCTAGCTTAATCATGTCGCTTTTTGGCTGTCGATGTGCGCGCGCATCGTAAAAATTTTACGCTCATATTTTTTGCCAAACCTGCCAAAAAAATATAACTTCAAAAATATAAGACTACTTAACACCTCCTTCTAAGAAATTAATTTAAATTCTAAGAAATCTATTGTTAACTGAAACGCCGGCGTGTCCACAGTCGTGGAGGGATTAACTAACGCAAAAATCATCCGTTCATTTTTTATCAACACGAATCTAAACAAATAATAAAATTTAAAGCATCCATTAACAGAATCATTAATTTTATTTTCAAAATCTAACTACTTGTTCTCATTTTAGATAATTGATTTTGTAATAAATTAATTTTAAAGTGAAAAATAGGTTTGCATGGGTGGCTACTGAAAGAGGAACTTTAAAACGAGTCTTTGTAGCTGAAGTAATTGTTCCCCGTGGCCTGAGGGAGACCATCGATCGTTCACTCCACAAGGGATTGGTTCCGCGAATCATGTTCAAGTTAATATAAACCAGTGAATTGTTTCATTTGTGCGCGCTGTTGGATTTTTGACACTTTCACATCAAAATTTAGGTAAAAGTGCTAAAACTTAAATTATCTTTTGAACACCGTTATTAAATATGGTAGTAGAAGGTACTTTGTGAGATATAACTATATAATATACATTATTATTTAGTGATTTACATCATCAAACATTTATTACTGTTTTGAAAATAAAACTTTTCTAGCTATGTGCTGGAAA